ACACTCCTGGTTGTCTGTGGGCATGTGTGCAGGTGCTACTGTCCTCTGGTGGAGAGAGGCCAGGGCTGCCGCTCACACCGTATGACAACGGAATGGCCTCCACAGCACAGACTGGCCACACTGGACGTCACACAGCCAAGGCTCTGCAGAAGGGCCAAAGGCCCTGAGACCTCACTCACTAGCTTCTGCCCCCTCACCTGGGCCTGCCAACCTGGGGCAGGTTTCAATTCTCCCTCGAGGTCCCTAGGGCCGCACAGGAAGCTTGATTTCAGGCTGCAAACTTAGAGGACGTACTCTTTTCACCCGGCATGGAATCCCGAGGCCGGGAGAGGCCGCTTCTCCAGCTTGCCAGCTCACCTCGCACCTCCCCTTCAGCTCAAGGGGCCAGCTTTATTCACGTGGGAGGTCTCCTGACGAATGTCACCCCGGGCTTCACAGGCCTCCACTGGTGAAGAGGTCAAAAGGGAGTGCAAACACCCCAGGGTGTGGCAGACTGCGGGGGTGGGGGCTGCCAACCTTGCTCACTGCTGAGACCCCACCTTCACCCTGTTCTGGCCTCTCGAGGACCCTCCCCTCTGTGGAGGGCTGGGTGGGACTTGGCCAGGTGAAGCAGAGAGGGGAGCTGCAAGGAAATGGAACAGCAGGTGCAAAGCCCAGAAGAGGGAGAGGCTGACTGCTCTGCCATAGCCTGGCTACCTGAAGGGCTTGGACGGGCCTGGGCCTGGGGTCTGCCCTGAGTCAGATCTCAGAAGAGTTAGGAGTGCAGGAGGGTGCAGTCAGGTTCCAGTTCCGGAAATGTCGTGGGCTGTTTGTAGAACCTACTAGAGGAGGGGCTGGTGAGTGTGGCCTCAGAGCCTGGGCGCATGTGAGGCTGGCTCAGAGGATGGAAGGGGGAGGGGCAAATCCAAGAACTAAGAAAGAGACACACTTGGTGGGACTTGGGGAGGTCCTGGTGGGCAGGCCCCAACCTGTTGACGGGGAGGATTTCTTCCTGGCTGGCACTAGTCCTCTGGACACTGGAAGTGTCCTTTCCCCACCCAAACCTGGGGCCATGATGGGTGTGGGGGTGTATGGTGAGAATAGGTCCCCAGATCTTGGGAATCTTAAACCCTATAGGGCCGCCCCACAGGGCTTGTCTGGGGCTGACACCCCCCTGGGGGCAGGCACATTTGCCCCCCTGGTGGCCATGAGCCTGCCCTGAGTCACAGGTCGTTCTGTGGGACACAGTCTAAGGTAGAGCCCTGGCCCAAGTCATCTGAACGTCTGTGGTCTGCTGGGAGGGCGTAAACAGGCCAAGCTCTCTGTGCCACTCCAGGAACCTGCCCTCTTGTTCTGGCTGCAGCCCAAGTCCTTTTCAGCCTTGGTCCTGACACGAACCCTGACCCCATCCCTGGGCTCACCCCCACAACAGGCACAGGCAGGACCCCCCACCCTTCACAGGCCATCTCCTACTCCCCTACCTGTCTGAGTGACAGCCACCTTGTCTTGGGGCCCTCAGTTGAGGGAAGGAAGCTGCCCTTGGACCCCTGGGCCGAATCACCAGTCCCCAGGTCTCCCAGCCCAACCCCGGCTCAGACCCCCACCTGAG